CATTAAGCTCTTTTCTAAGCACCACTAACATGTATTAGAAGAAGAGCTGGAAAACAACACACAACCAAAATGGATGACCTCGATGAACTTGAAGCAGAACCAGCCGCACAGCCCGTCCTGGTCTCTGTCCCACAAGATGGAGAGCAGGGCCGAGGTGTCAGAGATGCTCTGATGGAGTACCTCATGAGCTGTAACTTATCCTAATTCCACCCCTTAATCTTTTTTACCTCCCCAGCCTTCCTTAGATACAAGTGAACGTTAAAGTGTTGATTTGAAAATAAACATGGATTAATAATTATTCTTGTTTTTTTAATGTACAGACATGCCTTATTACCAGGTTCGTGTAAAAATGTCAAAACAAACACTGCTGCTGTGCTTCTATCACATATGCTGCGTTTTTTAGCGGCTGTAGTTTTAGAAAAACTGTATACTCTTTTTGTTTTTAACAAAGAACCAAAACCTACAACAAGAACTTTATATTTGTTTATGCATATATACATTAATCTATTTTAATATTTATATATATATGTCTTCAGCCAGAGACTTCTTCAGATCCCTTGTAAGACAGACGCTACAAGAGATCCTTCCTGCCCACAGCATCAGCATCTAGAACAACTCTTTAATGAAACCAGGATGATGAGTTACATTTAATTTCCCTCTGGGATTAATAAAGTCTTTTTGTAATTTGATTTGTATACATGTATGTATGTGTATATATATATATATATATATATATATATATATTACGTACATTACATAATAACCTACATTTGATTTGACATTTAACAACTCTTACAGAGCTTATGTTTACCACGCAGCTCTTTAAATTAAGCTGTCTCAAATTATCTTCATGATTGAAGTGCTGTTAAGTAATATTTAGTTAGTGCTCCTTTGTACCACAGTGAAAGTCGTGGAGAGAATTTTTGACCTTGGGCGAAAAAGATGCAGAAGCTGCTGGATCCACAAGATGGACATCATGGCCGAGGTGTTTGACATGCAATGACTGAAAACCTCCTGAATGAGGATGATTGTAAACGTAGATTACACAAGTCCTACACCTTTTTAACTCCACTGCAATGTTCATTTACAACACATGGACATTCTGTATTATGGTTAAGTTTTTCAGTACTCATTACAGATAAAACCGAAAAAATACATAAATAAAAAAACTGGACTTTATTTGTAACTGAAGATGTATCACTTTTCGTCCGAGGCTCTTTCTCAATTGAATGAAACGAGGAGTGTGATTCAAGTTATAAAGCTGTGGTGTGCCGTAAGCTTGTATTATGGAGACTGACACATGCAGATCAATCTCCAGCAAGCTTACAGAACACCACAGCTTTATAACTTTAATCCCAGATTCCTTTTTTCATTGAATTGTGAGTGCTCCTCAGATGATTAGCGAAACGTCTTCAGTTTTAAAAAAAGTCCTGTGGTTTTGTTTTTATATTTTTTGGGGGGGATTTGCCGTGTCAAGGATAACTGAGAATCTTCACCAGCATTGTTACAGGTAAAAACAATTACTTCACTTATCTACACTATTGTCGTAAAAAAACACTGTAAGCACTTCACTTTTGATGATCAGATGGAAGCTCAAGACTTGAAAATGTTTCTTTTATTAGAAATAAAGACCTGTACAAAAAAAACAATTATACACTAACTATATATGCAAACTTAACAAGCTACATGTTTGGCTATTTGTGGGCTTACCTTGCAGGATCTACATTTCTATAGATCAACTATGATCTACTCTAAATATTTTTAAACATGTCTGTTTGCCATGGAACGGGCAATGGATTCCAGCACCCCAAGGAGTGCCTGACTGAAAGCAGCACTCTGTTCAGCCTCCTGCCTTCGCTGTGCTGCTTCCTCTCTGCGAACATCTGCTTCCTCTCTCCTCAAGGCCATCTCCTCCCTCCTAATTGCTTTCTCCTGCTTCCTCGCTGCTGCAGCTTGGCGTTGCCTCTCCGCAGCTTCTTCTTGCCTTGCCTTTTTGGCATCCTCACAAATAAAATGGAAGTGTTCCTCTCTCTGCTTCCGGTTCATCTCCTCTTGTTCTGTATGCGCAGAAACAAAGCTCTCTGCTGCACTTGTTGATCTGCGCTTTCTATTGCCTAGGAATAACACACAAGAAAATGGCTGTTAGATGATGAAGTACAGGTAGAGTTTTTAAATAAATTATTTACATTAAAGTTCCTGCTAATTTTAAAAGGTGTTTGTTTACAAGATCAGAAATGTTTCTGTTCATAAAGCAGTCTAGTACTTTAATGATAGTAAGCAGGTGGGCATAAATAAACTACATGTAGTCATTTACAACGGTTTGTGCTAATTTAGAAAAAGAACAGAGCATCGTTAATCTGAACAAAAATCACTACACCCTGTATAATTTCAATAATAAACTTCATAAATGAAAGTTTAAGTAATAAATGAATAATTAAATTTAACATTTATACATTACAACTGAATAAACAAGTAGTTTGAATACATGCAAGGTGTTTTACAACAAAAACAAAATAACATTCATATCAGCATGATCAATGTGATGTTAAACACGATTGTTGCTTCTTACCTAGTAACGGGTGCTGTTTGGTGCCGCTCTGCTGCGTGTTGCCCGGTGGCGTGGATGTGCCCGGTGGCGTGAATGTGCCCGGTGGCGTGCATGTACTTGGAGCTGGTGTGGTCGGGGAAGGGTCAGAAGCGGGGAGGATTGGACAGTCAAAAGCAGAATCTGGCGAACCTTCATCTTCAGTGGGACTTTCTGCATCAAAATAAGAGTGGAAAAACAGCAACAGAGTACAGTTAGCAATGATGCTAACTAATGACGACGTAACCGAGTCAGCCTCGTTTGTTCAGAGTACTTTCAGAAAACGCAAAGAAACGGTTGCATGAGGAAAAGGAAATATGCTTAAAGTAAATAAAATACACTCACCATCAACTATAGCTTCCAGAAGAGCAGTGGCCGTGTCTAGGCCACTCTCCCTCCCTTTGTTGGCTGGGCGTTTGCCGTAAATGGCATCCATTTGTACAAACCATTTCCAGTTTCTTCTGTTTGCTCCACTCCTACCGTTGTGGTCCTTAATCGTTTTGTAATCGCTTTTTAGTTTTTTAAGCTTTCCTCTGCTTTGGTGTGCGATGGAAGCCCTGCACCGCCATCTGCGCAGACACCTCTTGAAAAATCTTTTCATTTCGTTTCGTTCCATCTAGCTCGCTCTGCACTTGTTCATCGGCCAGCAAACAGAGAAATGCCTGAACTTCAGCATTCGACCACGGTTGTGCCATGATTATTTGTTTTACCTTATAAAATATTCCAAAATAAGCTCCTCCGATTACTTGTTGTCTGTTATGCGGGTGAAAAAGAAAATGGTGGATTGTGATTTCCGGTGGGAGACTGAATCTCCACCCTCCACCAATGAATACGCCCCCTGACCAATCAGTGACCTACAGTGCGCTGATGTCACATCTAGACCCTACAAGAACCAAACCTGGGACCTCAGAGAATTAGGTCCCAAAAATGGGGTGGGTTCCACCGCTAAAGGCATTGTGGATAAAACACGCAATCGGCCACAACTAGTTACATAGGAGTACCAAAGGGCCCCGTGGATAAGGGGCTTTAGAAACACCCAAAAATGACCCTTTGACCCAAAATGGCCAACTTCCTGTTGGTTTTGGACCATGGCTCCAAGAGATTTTTTCATAGGGCCTGAGAAAATACAGATGTTCACCGAGTTTCAGAATTATCGGTCAAAAAATTACTTGGGACTGAGGTTTTAAAATATTCTAGTGGGTGCTGTGTAGGCTATTGGCCAATTAGCATGGCTTTCTGTTCAAGGGGTGGATAATGATCGATCATACTGATTTTGGTGCCCCTCAGTTCAAATCTGTGGAATTTAGAGCCAAACGTATGGCGATGGCGTTACATCTTAATTCGCCGCGCCGCCCACATGCTCCACCCAAAACTGTCAGTGTTGGAAATCAAGTTACACCATCATGTCTTCGGTCACTGGACACACTATCATGCTGATCAGGTAACAGTGGTCAGGTAGGGACCATTCAACATAAAACTTTACACTTCCTGTTGTCAGGGGAGCGTGGCTTAAGTGATGTCATGATTTGACCATTCAGTCTTACAGGGGACCGGATGTGGATCAATCACTTAAGGTTTGATGTCTCAGACAGTTTTCTTGTAGGAGCCATTAGCGTTTCGTTTTTCATAGCGAGATGTCAAATTTTGAGGTGTGGCCCCGCCCTTCAGCATTCTCCGAAATGAACCGTTTAGATAACTTTTCGTTCCCTATGCCTTTTGACCAAAATGGCCAAGTTTGAAACTGATTGAGCGAAATCCCTAGGAGGAGGAGTTCAAATGTGGAGGCTGAAAACCGCCAAAAAGGTGTGAAATTTGGGATGTCATTCCAAAATGGCCACCTTCCTGTTTATCATGCAACGTTGGTGCCAGAGTATTTTCTGTTACTCTTGGGGAATTGGTGAAGTGTACCAAATTTCATGCTTCTACAACAAACTAAGATCAAGGCGGAGGGTATTTAGAAAATTTCCATGTGTCGCTCTTGAGCCGTTTCTGTTGCAATTTTTGCGTTGCCCTTAAAATATGTAATTTTTCACCAGTCCTGATGCGTCCGCCAAATTTGGTGATTTTTGAGATATGTTAAGGCCCCCAAAAGTCCAATTCATTTGGCAGAAACATTGCTCTGGCCTAATGAACTAAGCAATTGCAATAGGCTTTCGCAGCAGCGTTTCGCTGCTCAGGCCTGAAAAGAGCTTCTCAGGACCTTTTCACAGTTGTGAGCATATGTTGTTGGTTTTTTTTTTATTGTTGCATGAAAGATTTGGAAATTATTTACTCTTGATGTCGTTCCTGATGCAACCTGGGCTGGAACCCGCAGCCTCATTATTACAAGACTGACCAAGCCACCACAGCCCCCCAGTTGTAACCTCTGATATGAAAGAATATTTTATAAACATATTGTCTTTTGTGTTTCTTACAGGATAATCTGTTGTTGGACATGTACCTGGCCCCACACATCAAAACTCTATACAGTCAGATCAGAAACAGAGCCCTCATTCAGGTGAGACATGCATGGCCAAATCTGTTAGAAAAATAATTCTCTGCTGTTCTGCACAACAATCAGTTTTATTCACAATTACCAGTATCGGCCACCACTTTGCTCAGGAATGAAATCCATTTTATTCACTCTGTATTTTTGTTTGGAGGGACACAAATAATAGTTTCAGATTTACCTACATAATTAATTAACACGCATCCTGTCATGGCCATTTTTAACATGGATTTGACATATAAAGAGTTTTGAAACTCCACCCATCCATTATCTACTCACCCATCCACGTCCAGCAGTCACTGTCAGATGCAAGGGACACCTGGACAGGTCTCCAGTCCATCACAGGGACACATACAGACAAATGAGACAAGATAGCTACTGTAGGTAGGTAGATGGGTAGGTAGATGGATAGATACCAGTAGATGGATAGATATCGATGGATGTTACGTTATTCAAACGTCTGAAGCAGGCTCTGAAGCAAATGTGCACAGTATTATTGCAGGTTTATTGTACAGATAAGTGAAAATCACAACTCACATGATGTCTTCCCATTTCACTGAACACCCTCTCGTTTACAGAGCGCATCACACTTTTCTTCAGAAACTGGCCACACCCGTTGGTGTCGTCATCTCCACTCATACGACAGCCTACTCTTACCCATGTGACCAGCCTCTCAGCCAATAATACTTCCATCCTTGATGTAAACAATAAGTGTCAGGCTTTTTGCAGAGTGTAGGCGTGTAAATAAAACTCCTTCCTACCGGAAACAAAAACTCAGAAATAAAGGTTCTGCATCGGCTTAATATGCATTTATACTGCAGACTGTAGGTGTACACAACTTTTAGTAACATAACAAATATAATACTGATAGAAATATATTTCAATTCTCCTTTTGACACAACTATCATGTCAACAAAAATCCTATATGTAATATCTTTAAAAAAAAAAAAAAAACGGCAATGCAATTATAATTACAGTGTACACAGTGGAAAACTCGTAACATTCCCACCCTTTATTCTTCCTAAATCTAATGTAACCCAACAGATTATAAAACCCCAAGTGTATACAAAATAACTACCAATACTAATTGGTAACACAAAAATCAGTAACTAACATACTAGAGTATAATTTAATTGTCAAAGCTTATACTTAAAAAAAAAGTAATAAAAAGTAATCAAAAGTAAAAAAAGCAAAATGAAAATGACCATTTGTCCCTTCTATAAATCTCACGTCTCTAGTGTGTGGAATCTATATTTCTGGCATGTTTTATCCTGCGAATAATATGAACTAGGGAAAATGCAGGAACGTAGTGAAGTCAGGCATCTTCATCCTTGTCCTCATCTTCTTAGGCACCTGTAAGGGGCAACACTTCTGCTACCTGTATGTTCATCTGATAAGATGGTGGCTGAGGGAATATATCAACTGCCCTACTTATGCACCTCAAACACAAATGTCTCACACATGGAACACAGCAACATCCACAAAAAAATCAACATAACCACAACTGCAAGTATTGTAATCATAGCTGTAATTATGACAGCCTCCATCTTCCAAAAGTTGATATGAACCAGTCACTGAAGGGATTCTCAACTCCAGAACTTTCAGCCAACTCCTCAGATAAGGATCTCAGGCCATTAAGAGCTCTTGTTAATGAACCATCTGGACTTGTGTTATTAGGATTGAATGTACAACATTCTTGTCCAAACATAGAACAAACCCCTCCTCTCTCCACAAATAGAAAATCAACAGCCAATCTAGTTTGATACGCCATTAAAGATGTAGCTGCAAGTTGTTGATGGGCGCCATCTAGTGCGTCTCTTGTCAAATTGTTCAACCTCTGAATATTAAAATGAATGAAATTAATTCTTGCCACATTCTTATTAACTGTAATATATGGAATCAGAGATTCAAAGCCAGCAGCAACTGGATCCACTAGTTTGTATTCATCTGGGACACCTCTGGGGACACCTATCAAATCAATGTAAGCAGGTGAGTCAGCATAAGGGTGCATTCACACCAGCCCTGTTTAGTCCGCTTTAATCGAACTCTAGCTCGTTTTCCTAGAAAGTCCGGTTTGTTTGGAGAGGTGTGAACGCGCCATCAAACTCGGTCACGGAACAAAAAGGCGAACTCTGGCCCGGGCTAAAACCTAGGTCTCGGTCTGGTAGAAGCAAACTCCAGTGCAGTTCGAGTAGAGTGTGAATGTAAACAGACCGGGCCCCGCTCCACAAGCAAGAAGTGGAGTACAGTGCAGGGCAAACAAACACGCATTTCTCTTACCTTATATGGAGCCGTCAGCTGCCTTGTGTGAAAAACAATATTCTCCATGGTCTTCTGCCTCATTTTCTGCTCATGCTGAGTCCATTTTTGAAAAATGACAAAATACAACTCCTAAAACTTGATGCCACTCCATCTTTGTTTTTTTTTTCCAGAAGAAGAATAAGTGTCTTCAGAGGTTTTTGTGTAATTTCTTTCAGTAGTTCTTGGTCTAGCGCCCTCACAGGCGAGCGGGGGAATAGGTTGGTTCAATAGGTTGGTTCAACAGGTTGGCTCGACTGCACAGTGCAGTGTGAATGCAAACGCACCAGCTCAAATGTAAACAAAATGTCATGAATATTGGTCCCCAACAGAACTGAGTCTACCGGACTATCAGGTGTGAAAACAACCTAAAGATCAAATTCACGCTTCCTCCTTTTCCCCAGTTCACCAACCAAATATGCACTGTTCCTAAAAGTTTCCAAATCCTGTACAGTCAGATTTACCATTCTAACTCGAGAAATTAGAGAAATTACTGTACATCTTCCAGACCATCTTGGTGGCATCGTATTTCTTAAGTCTTCCACCACAAAACCAATGGGCATCTGCATAAGCTACAGATAATCTTGTCATATTAATCCAGGCTGAAACATCCACATTTATTTTTCACCAATCTGCTTCTATCCCACTTACATTCATACCTCTCTGGATTTTTCTGACCAAACAAGTGTAATCATTCTTTACAGCTGTAAAAACTGGTGGTGCCAAATGTAAATTCTTTTCTGATTTAATTGTCTCCAACTCCCACAACCCCCGAGTTCTTTTCTCCACCCTGAACTCAGTTCTACACCTCAGTGAGCCTTCACCTCTGGAAGCCTCAACTGAGCTGTGTGAGAACTTCCTCCATTTCTTTTTAGAAAAAGTGGCAAACACCCGGGCACTCATTTCTCCACCAGCTCATGATCTGTCCATCCCTTCTCAGTGTGTGGCTGTGTTTGACCACTTTGAGCCCATCTCTCTGTCCTCTCTGGAGCAGGTAATGTGCAGCATGAAGCCATCTGGTTCCCCCTTTGATGTGGTCCCCCCTCGACTGCTAAAGGAAGTTTTTCCTACCCTGGGTCCTTTTATCCTCGCTATTCTGAATAGCAGTTTATCCTCAGGTGTGGTGCCAAAGACTTTTAAACATGCTGCTGTCCAGCCCCTCCTGAAAAAACCTAACCTTGACCCCTCAGTCATGTCCAACTTCCGGCCTGTCTCCAGACTCCCATTCACCTCTAAACTACTGGAAAAAATTGTGGAGTCTCAGTTGAAACAGTTTTTGGGGGATCACGCTATCCTTGAGTTATTCCAATCTGGCTTCAAATCTCTCCATAGCACTGAAACTGCTCTACTGAAGATTTTTAATGACATTTTCATATCCACAGACGCAGGTGATTCTGTGCTGCTTGTCCTATTGGACCTTACATCTGCTTTTGACACCATCGACCACAATATCCTCATTTCTAGACTGGAGCAGTGGGTGGGCATCACAGGGTCAGCCCTTAAATGGTTTGGGTCCTACCTCTCTGACAGAACCTTCTGTGTCAATATCAAAGATTTTAGTTCGGCATCGACTGCACTCCAGTGGGGGGTACCGCAGGGGTCCATCCTCGGTCCCCTTCTCTTTTCTTTATACCTGCTGCCACTAGGTGCTATCTTCCGCAAACACGACATACCCTTTCATTTCTATGCCGATGATTGCCAAATTTACTTCCCCCTGAGGCACAGAGGCACACGCTCTATTCAGCCTCTTCTTGACTGCCTGGCTGACATCCGGGACTGGATGGCTTTAAACTTCTTAAGCTTCAATGAGAAGAAGTCTGAAGTCATGCTGTTCCATCCCAGTGGCTCACTCATGAACCATGACATTGACCTTTTCTCTCTAGCCCCGCTAGAGAAACAAAAGGTGACTAATCTGGGGGTGATAATGGACCCGTCCTTAAAACTCAACAGTCACGTAAACATGATGGTCAAATCCTGTTTTTTTCAGCTGAGACGGCTGTCTAAGCTGAAGCCTATACTCTCCAAAAAGAACCTCGAGACAGTGATCCACGCCTTCATAACATCTAGGCTTGATTACTGCAATTCACTTCTGTTTGGAATCAGTCTACAACTGGTCCAAAATGCTGCAGCCCGATTTTTAACTGGTACAGGCTATAGAGAGCACATCACGCCAGTTTTGGCCTCCCTGCACTGGCTACCCATTCACCTTCAGATCCATTTCAAAATTCTCATGTATGTTTTTAAATCACTGAACAGTTCCACCCCATCCTATCTCACTGATCTTCTGCAGCCATATGTCCCACCGCGCTCTCTGAGGTCAGCAGACCAGATGCTTCTCTCAGTCCCAGAAACCCGTCGTAAGCTCAGAGGTGACAGGGCTTTCTCTGTTGCAGGTCCACGACTGTGGAATGAGTTGCCACTGAGTGTCCGGCAGGCTCCCACACTCTCAGTCTTTAAGTCTCGCTTGAAGACCCACTTCTATTCGCTTGCCTTTAACACGGTGTGATTTGTTTTGGTCCGGTCTGTTCTCTACTCTGTTGGCCATTTTAGTTAGCTTCTGCTGCTATTTGTATCTGTATTTCTATTTTATGTTTTCCTGTCTGCTGTGCATGTTTGGTTCTTTTGTACAGCACTTTGGTTGGCCTTGTTGCTGTTTTAAGTGCTATATAAATAAATTGGTATGGGTATGGTATGGTTTGGTATTGCATCTC